GGTAAGGGGATGAAGGGAAAGGAATTACTTATTAAAGAGGAAGTAATTTTAATGGGATGAAGATTGGCGTTTGAGAAGACTAAGGCGCCAGAGTAGGGTAGGGAGATTGCGTGCACGCGTGGATGAAAGAGGCAAACGAGCGACGGTCGTAGGGGACTTGAGTAGCAAGGAGAGACCACCATATAATCTGATTACCGCGCGGGGTCTTATACCTGGCGCCGTCATCATACCTTCAACTCCAAAATTATCTCCGCCGCGTCGCCTGCTGGCAAAAATTTTGCCACGAAAATTGAGAGAATCTCATTTTCCCAGACTATAATAATCACCACCCCAATATGTCCGAAACTTATTTGCATCGAAAACTTCGAGCCATTAAAAGGCATCTTATTTCACGATTATTGGTTTATCATGATGAAAGGAGTAAGTAAGGCAGATACAACTTCCGGGGCCCGTGAAATGCACACTGCGATAGTTTGACAAATTAGCATCACGAATTTTTGGCAAATAGTTTCGAAAGAAGGAAAAGCAGTTATTACTATACGCCGAAATGCGATGATTTCAAATTTCTCAAAGCTGAATTTATGCAATTTCGAAGTTAAAGGCGAATTATTATTCCACAACCTTGACAACAACACTGATGCTAACAGGCATTACAAAGACTATTAAAATAGGAAAAGTTCACTTTGAAAGAGACAGATATACCAGCTCATACCCTTTTTAATGAAGACTAAGCATTAGGTAACTAGAAATTCGGAATTCTAAAGACCATATAATTATAGCATTCACTCTAATTATTCACCTTCTTGTCGATCTAATATACAGAACAGTAATTTTACAAATAGACAACCATCTCACTTTTTTAGGGAGTTGTAAAAAATCTTAAGACAGCGGTTAAAATTCAATCGCTTTTTGTACTTATTGGTATCTCGAAAGCATGATGCACCCTACAGAATTCGGTGCAAAGTTAAAGAACCAGTACTTTAATCGACAGTTGTTCAAGGGCATCAGTAATGATCATTCACAAATTGCAAACTTGAATAAGCCTCCTCTTCATAATTAGCTCTTTTTAAACATTCGACGGAGAGACATTAACTGCAGAGGGTGGTTTTCGGCAAAAAAAGCCCTGATGACAACTCACTTTTTACACTTTTTCACAATCATCTTCACTCCCCAGTCGGGATTTCAAAATAGCTCTCGGCATTTCGTGGGTCGAGAGGCTAAATACTCCCCCAACCCTCTCCCCACCCTCTTCGTAGCTAACTTTGGCGACAAATATAAAAAAGGGCCTTTAAAAAGCAAAACTCCCCTCCTCTCTTATGTCTCTTCAACGCACACACTGCTGACAAAATCATTCATTCTCTTTGAGACCAGCTGTTTTGCTAGTCAAAATAGCCTCGCAGGTGACAATGACAAACAACATATTAGGCGTCGTATTGTGTTTCGAGACAGCTAATTGAATAGAATGTAACAAGTGAATTGTGGGATATATGTACAACCGTGTATCGATCAATATTTATAAATCCTAGTTTATTTAATTGGAGTAAAAGGGAAATTACCCTTTTGTAAAGAGTGATTAGATTGAGCATAAGGTTGAGTGGCTGGAAATACAACTCAAACGTTTGAAACTGGAGCGAGATGTTCTTTCAAATGAACTATATACAAAATTGAAGTAATTAAATAGAAAATGTGCAAACCTTACTAATGATTGTGTACTAAATGTAATGTGAAAAGAAACATTTCCGATCCTATACCTCCAAGGGGTTTAGGTATGGAGTCCACTTTTGCAATTAGTTTAAAAAAGATTTAAGTGAAATTCAAATATATTTTATTAAATAAAAAACTTGGTACGAAAATCTCCAGGTGCATTAAGTAAGGCTAACTTGAGGAAGTTAAAAAAAATTATGAGAGATTTGTTTAAGCTTACATATTAGACTAACAAGATATTCAAACAAATTTCTCAACCGCATCATCAGTTTCTTTAACGTTAACAAAAAAACCCTGGTTCATATTTTTCCATGTAGCACACCACAGTTTGATTGACCTTGCGCTCAAAAGCAGTTCCACCACCCTCACCGTTTTTCCCCATATTCCCATCCTGTCTAGCCAGCTTGACAACTAAAACCATCCAATGATAGAAGTCTCCTGGCTCCTCATTTACCAGGAGGAGAGCCAAGGTGTGACACCAAAGCATGGTTTTCATGTCACGCAAGTACTTGAAAAATTTCCTCATTGCATGCAGAACGCGTCTCAATTCAATCACAGGAGAGATTAGAAAAGACGAAGTCTAAGTGCCTAGCCCCTTATCTACTTTAAGGAGTTGTTATTAGTTACAGCCGAGAGAAGAATGCATATAATAGGAGCGTGACATCAAGTAATAGTCATTAAAGGTACCTTAAGATTTTACTAGCAGACGAGAGCGAGGCCATGCAAAAGTAGAAGCAGAAGAACAATGGACTAAGTTAATTAATATTCGACGTTTCGACAGGGCCTATAGAGAGATTTAATTGTATGAAAAATCACCTCACAAACCAAGGGATTAAACTGCAAGAAGTAAAATGAGGTTTGGATGTAGGATAGTCAACAATCCCACTATAAATAGGGGATAAAATATACTACTAATGGTAAAAAGATACCTATAGATCCCACGGGAGATCATGAAGACCGACAAAAACAAAATTTGAAGTTGTAATAGACGTGAACCCACTAGAATCCACAATTTTTCCTAGTCGAAATGGCCATGTTTATTAAAACTTTCAATTATTGTACGAATGAATGATTAAAAGCAAAATATAATTTCGATTTTCAGTCCTTCAAAATAATTAACACAAACATCTAATTTCAAATTAGAGAAAAAAAATAATAACAAGAAGAATAATTAAATCTGAAAGTTCGGTTAAGGTTGAATGTTCTGTTAATTCTTCATCTTAATCTTGTATGTATGTATGTATAGCGAATCCGATTAGTTGAAGGACCTTTCTAAAGAAATATTGAAGGCAAATTCCACTGCATTTTGCCATTAAGCTTTACAGTAACTGGAGTATTCAGAAAGGAGTCACTGAGGAATGAACATTAAAAAATTAATATTCCTTGTGCATTTGTGGCTCCTTTAACATCACGAAGTGAGCACTCAACTATTTACGCAACGACTACGCGAGCTTTCCAATTAAGAATGACCCAAATATAAACAAATTATGAACCCCACAAGAAAAAGCCGATAGACGAACAGAGACGCAAAAATTAATCAAAATTTCTAGGCCCGAATTGCCTCATCTCAACATCAAGACATTTAATCCTTGAATCCATTAGCCCAAACAGTACCTTTCGAGCTAAGGTATTACTAAGCACAAAACTTATCCAACAAGCCCCAACCCCTATAACGGTGATAAAGCGGCATGAGAAATCGACACAATGAGCATGCTGATTCAGACTCAACGAAAAGAAATATATGTATACCTATCGATGAGCACATATGAAGATAAATATAACTGCGTCCACCTCGTGCTTAGGAAGCTGAGTCATATTTGTAATTACTAAATCACTGATAGATTTGATAATATCCCCTGAGAAGGAGAAAATGAAACTTCGTAAATTTAAGAGATAATTGCCTGAGTTATGAGAGGGAGATGGGAGTAGAGTGTTCTGCTCCTAAATGAGGCAACGGAGGTATGGCTATATGGATATTGTCTGCGACAAAAACGTTTCGAAATAGAGTTCACCCGAGGGAAATCAAAGCCAAATTTTAATCATTAGGGAGAAAATTTTGAGGCAATGGAAAGTCACTACACTCACACACACCCACATTAATGTATCTTACTACTTATGTGCTGACGGGAAAGCAAAGAGGAACTTAATCAATACCTTCTAACAAAGCAAAAACTCTAGCCGAAATAAAGGCATGAAAAAACGTAAAATTTAATCAAACTTTACAAAAAAAATTGAAAATGTTTGAATGGATTTATCGAAGGATGCTTAAGTTAGTTTTTAAAAAAAGGGTTACGTACCGAAAATGTGGTCGCGAAAATGTTCACTAAGTTGAGCAATCTTAAACGTGGTGCAAATAGCGCGCCCACCGTCCCATAAAATGTGTACTCAATAAATGGCTCGCACAGAGTGACACGCAGGTAAATACGCGCGGTCGCAATGGGTGACATTGCCGCACGCGAAAATACATAAGTACGCACGCACACATGCGCGCCCTCCGTGAATCAACTGTGCTAAACGGAGTTATGACCTTGAAATCGAGCGAGCGCTTAGGGAGGAGGGGTAGAGGGCACCATTATGAGCACGAACAGACATACATACAAGGCAGATTTGTGTGACTCAACTGCTTGTGAGAGTTGCAGGCCTCTCTCAATGAGGCCGCTCACTAGGGCCGTGTGAAACAAACGTGTGCCAATTGTCGATTTTAGTAAGTCACAACACGTTGTGGCTGAAAAATCCTCATTTACTTGCGCCTGTAGCAATTTGCCTATAATTAGTAAAGGGTTGGTTTCTTCAGTCCAAATATTCATTAATCAACCAGAACTACTTAGTCTTTGAAATAAAAATTAAATTTCAGATGTAAGTTCTCTTAGGTTTTAGCAAATTCAAAACTCATTTTTTCAAAGAAATTAAATAAATGATTAAACCTTCTCATGCTTTTATCTGCTTGGTTCCCTTTCTAATAAAGTGCCGATAATTTAGAGAGAAAACTCATCTCCTGGGCTACTTAATCATCGCATTATCTAAACAACGAGATGAGTGAGGCCGTGTTTAATTGCAAGGTGACTTGGGATGACGCGTATGACAAATTAGTGAAGTCGTGGATTTTATATCCTGCTGAATCACTCAATAGCTGTGTTTAATTCGAGATTTTTTTCTTTGTTTTACCTTTCATAAGTGAGGATTATTCTCCCGTGATTTCTGAGTAGTTATCTCGGTCTTTACGTGTGACAAGTCGCCATTCAAACGAATCCTCCATGCTATTCATTTCCATACTCTCTTTAAAATGCCGTGTTTGTTGAAAATATCAGTTTACAATTATATCTGAAGCATCTACCGCACGGTTTGTAGTAAACGAAATCAACTCTCTCTAACCTGTCCTCTTCACGCTGAGCGTTTCAGAGAGTCTCCACTTTCGTGGGGGGGTAGGTAAAATACAATTCTCGTTGCTGCCAATTGGAGCCAGAATAATTTATAAGCTGGACCTTTGGGCGGGGCAAGGAGACGTTGAATATGAAGAAAGCCAACCTGCTAAGCGTGAGCAATTCCAATGTGTAACAGGCGGATTAGAACCAGTTGTGGTGCCTTCTACTACTCTGACCATCTATACAAAAGATCATCGGTGCAATTTGTTTAATGAAAGGAAGAAAGTCAAAATAGACACAGCGTTACCACGACTACGGACTGAAAACAAGACAGCTAGACAGTAGGGGAAAATTTTGTCCTACTTTTTCTGCGGATGACAGGTTAGATTGAAATGAGCGGTCGCCAGCAAAGCAAAAAAGCCAGTATGTTATTTGTGGTTAGCATGGGGTGTGCACCCTGGGCAACGTATACTCATACGGCAAAATAGTCTATTAACCGGCAGTTGACTTTTCACTTCAAACTACCATCACCCCACTGTATGCCATATTCGACTACTTCCGCAGTACTCACCTCACCTTTTTTCTACCTTCGTGTTTGTTTTTTACATCTTTGAAACACTCTTCTGTTCTCTCCCCCCCCCTCTCGACGTTTTTTTCAATTTGATGTTCCTCCTCCCCTCTGTGAAGCCTGAAGTCAACTAAAGGGCTAATGATAACCATCAAGACACCTGAAATTTGATATAAATAAATAAAAATTTGTGGTTAGTATGACCTTAATTTGGCAGAAAACTATCGTAATTATCAGATAATTGCCTCTTCTCAGATTCCAAAATTCATTGCCTATTTGCCGTCAACATATTGTGATGTCGTTTTCTTTGGCCAAATTAGGAAGTGAAATTTCATGTAATTTGACGGTGGTTTAATCTTAAAAAAAGATTAGGACACAGTTAGTGAATAATGATGAAAATTTAATTGGAACACTATTAGCAATATTTTAAACTCATCGATTAATAAATGTAGCTTGGTTTAT